ACAGAGTGATGAGGTAGTCCGAGGGTGAGCCCTCCCTTCTCCCTCACTCCCTCGTGTTTCCATCACCCCTACGTCCTCTCTCTTCCTCTCCCCCTTTTCCTCTCCTTCCACTCCTCCCTCCCCCCCTCCCGCCTACCTCCCAATTCATCCAACATGACGTGACGCATGACGAGTGTTATTATATTCCTCCGCGCATTACTTTCCCACGCATTATGTCCACAGGCTGGTTGCAATCTAATACATGCGTCCTCACTGCAATTCCTATCGGACTTTCTTCGGTCCTCCACACTGTACAATAGCGCTCCCGCTGCGGCTTTTGTCGCATTCATGGAAACGTGCGTGCCTTCCGTCTTTCGGAGTGGCGCTCTTGTCTCGGTTCGGGCCGCGCTTCTGGATCCTTCTTTTCCTCGTCGTTGCCGCCTCCATCCTTTCCTCTCCGCCTCCCCCTACCTCCTCTTGCTGCCGCTGCTCCTCCTCCAATGCGTAAGAGGCCACCCTTGCCGATTGTACAGCAGATGACGCGTCAAGCCTTGTGGCTGCCATTCGGGGGGATCAAGGTCCTCTAGGGCACCCTGCTCGGCGGATCGAAGATACATTCAGGGCAATCAGAAGACATGGGTGGGAGGTGTACCGCGGGTTTGTGTCGTGCCGACCCCATCGTTGATTCCTGTCACCGCGGGGATCGTTCAACCTTGAAGGATCGGCCGTTTCCGAAACGTCAGATCGTTCAACCTCGACCGATTCTGTACCGCCGGCGGCGTTCAACGTTGAACGCCGACGGCGGGGTCGCCGCCAGTCGACACGGCGCAAACCTACCGTACAGTCAACCCATATAGTAAGGATGGGCAACCTTCCCAAGGGTACCCTTGCATCCTTGCCTCCTCGGTCCATCCCGGCCACTTTCGTTGGCCGCACCCCGCTCGAAAAGCTTCGGTGTGGCCTTCCGAGGCCCCTGCATCCTTATCGTGCGTCCTTATTGTACAGGTTGACCGTAGGTTCGCAGACGTGGCGCGGCCGCACCCGGCCTGCCCAGCGGCCTCTCCGCTCCACTCTCCGCTCCCTGCCTCCTTCCCTGCTTCCCTCCTTCGGGAGGGAATCAAAACACACAGACACAATTCATCGTCGATTCCCCAGAGCATATGGGGAAATATGGGAAGTGGGGGGGAAGACAAAACCCAGAAAGTATGGGAAAATTTGGGAAATCCGGTTATTAGTGCCTATTTATTTGTGTGTCCCAGGGCCCCTTCACTCCTGCTATTCCCAGACGTGTCTCCTTCTCGGGTCCTCGAAGCTGTGTGAACCACCGAGCGCGTTCCACTACTCGCAACGTGCCTCCTCGCAAGCGTCAAAACAAAAACAAACGCCTGCCTCGATGTAATGGACCGCAAAGTCCCCTCGGCGGACCCAGGGCATTTGCGAGTAGTTTCTTTGCGAGTAATTAGTGGAACGCGCTTGTCTACTGAAACAATCCCGAAGCCGCGAACAAGTTCTCCACGGTTTCCGGTGTGTCCACCCGCCCTCAGGACGACGTCTCCCCTCCCCACTGGCCAACTACGGGGGGAGCCCCGAGAGATTCAGCTTCAGAATGCTCTCCCCGAAGGTGTCGTGGCTGAGGGCATCGATTGCCCCCCTGAGGACGCAAGAGACCTCTGGGGTGAGGTTGCCCTGGACAGATCCTGCCCGAAAGCAGTCGTTCGGGATATGGGCCGTGCGGGTGGGGCCTGGCCATGGTAGGTCCAGGAGGCACCCTTTTGAGTATGGCGTTCGGCCAAATGTGGAACAGCAGCCTCCAGACTGTCCAGGCGGGCGGGTTCACGTCTGGTGCGGTCTGCGGCGCCCTTCCAGACCCCGCAAGCTCGTTGGTGACTGTGTATCTGATGTGCGTATGCACGCTCTCTCAGAGTATGCCCGCCTGTCGCCCGACCGACCCGAATGCCAGCATGTGATCCACCAAGGATGCCCCCCCCGGGGCTGATGAACAGATCCCGCGGGGTGCGAAACAATTTCTTAAACCACGTGCGCCATGGGGTCGTCGCGGGTGCCGCCGAGGGGATCGTGTACCTCCTTGCACGACAGCCTCAAAACGACTGCCTCTTTTCAGGAGGACCGTCATCATCCGAGGCGAAGTTCTCCCCCCTTCCAGGCTCACTACTGACGCGCCACCTTCGTCGTCGCGGTCGTCGTCGTCCTCGTCCTCGTCCTCGTCGTCGTCGTCGTCGACGAGCACAGCGGGCATGCGCAGCCCCCCCGCCCCCCCCCAAGGGAGCATCCGCAGTGCGTCGTCGTCCGCTGTCGTTGTCGTCGTCGTCGTAGGAAGTTGTAGTGGAAGGGGGGGGGTGGAACAGGAGAAGAATAAACCCTTTCCGCCTGCCTTTGTCGCTTCTCCCCCCTGTTCTTCTCCTGTTTGTCTGTCGCCATTTTTAACCCAACCGCCCCGCTATAGTGCAGTCGTTGTTGTCCCCCTTCGCTGAAGCGGCGCCGCTTGCGTCGCGCCTGTCGAACTCCTGCTGTCGGCCGGTCTTCGGCGCTAATCACTGGCGCCGCCGCCGTGTGTTGCCATCTGGCGGGTGGCCCCCCGTGATTCGCCCGAGCAGGGGCACTTTTTGCTTAATTGCGCGCCCCGCTTATTTTTATTGTTTATTACTCACAAGCTGACATTCGTGGGAGTGGCGATGCAGGGGCGGACTCTCGGGAGAGGGAAGCTGGTCTGCTGCGACGAAATGAAGATTCACCAGGCGACCGACGACTTTGATATTTTTCCCACGAGCGTTTTTTCAGGGTCTGTAACTATTTCGCGCTGATCGTGCGGCGAGGCTGCGGGCGGAGTCGCACTGTTTTGCCCACGGTGCTCGCACATGCAAATTCTTCAGTTTGGTTGTGTTGGTTATTCTGGTTTTCCGTCAGGCTTACCCCGGAGTTGCTCCTGTTATGGCCCAGGCCTGTCTTGTCGGAGGTCCTTCGGTCCGAGGTGCGTTCAATGCTCGAGAAGCTTCCAGACCTCACGAGTGGGCGGGGCTAGGCCCTCTTAGGGGCTTTCAGAGGTTTTGGCGGTGCTCGGTTTGCTTTCGGTCGAAACGACACTCTGGCCACTCTTGCTTTCGCCCAGATGAACGCGCTGAGGTTTTCAAGATCCGCGTTCCGTGCCTTCGGGATTCAAGGCACAAGCTTGTGATATTTGATTCTTCCAGCGTCAACATGGACTCTGTGTGTGCGGAATGGGGATGTTACGCGTTTGGAGTTCGTCTGGCCAGACGGATTGACATTTATACAGGCTGTCGGAAGAACCCCTGGACAGGCAATGACATGCATAATCCGGCCAGTTGGAACATAGTACGCAATGGTCACCATCCCAAGTTGAACATAATTGCTTTGTTTTCTAACAGTTCAGCGTGCTTTGGGCATGCACTGGGCGGTCGTACTCACCAAATGCAGTTTCCCCTTGTCTCCCCCGCCCATCACCTTTCCTCCTTCCCTCTATCCCCTTCCCTCCATTTCCCTCCATCCTCCCCCTTTCTCCTGTCTCCCTTCTCCAACCTCCCTCCCTTTTCCATCCTTCTCCTTCTTTTGCTCCTCGTGCTCCTCCTTTTCTTCCCTCCTCCGTCCTCAGTCAGCCATTGGCAAATAGTTTGTTCCACACCTTCATTCCCGGCCAGTCAGTGGATTCGGATTCTCCTTCTAGCCGCAATCACTTTCACCGTTTCTCTGATGATCGCCTCCTACTTTCGGATGGGTTCCGACTTCAGTGCGCCTCAAGCTTACTCGAGAGGCTTAGTTCATTCTGCCGACCCCCAACAACAACAAAAAATGTGTGGTTTCCAATTTCGTATGTGTCGTTTGCCGACTGCCGTTTTGGTATCTGCGTGCGGTTGTTACAGATTCGTCTTCCTCTTCCTGCGCTTCTGCTGCAAGGCTTCCTGGGGGGTTTGGGAGGCCTCGAGAGCAGCCTCCTCGCAGCCTTTTGGAGGATCCCAGGGGCATTTTAGGGGGCCCCTTGGGGGCTTGTTGGGGGCATCTTGCCGGCATGGTCCCGGTCTTGGAGGCCACCTTGTGGGTGGCGACCCCCCCGGCCACCTGCCCTCTCTTGGGCCACTGTTGGGGCTCTCTTGGCGGCCATCTTGGCCGTCCGAGAAAGTCAACGACTGTGCCTCCTGCGGCCCCGTCTTGGGGTTCTGTAAGCGCTCTCTTGGGGGCCCCTTGGCCGTCTTGAGGCCATTTTGGGTGTTTTGGCGTGTTGCTGGAGGAGGAGGAGGAGGAGGAGGAGGAGTAGGAAGAGAGGGAGAAGGGGGAGGAGAAGAAGGAGGAGGAAGAGGGAGCAGGAGCAGGAGGAGGAGTAGGAGCAGGAGGAGGAGGAGGAGGAGGAGGAGGAGGAGGGAGCAGGAGGAGGAGCAGGAGCAGGAGCAGGAGCAGGAGCAGGAGCAGGAGCAGGAGGAGGACGAGGCATTCTCAAAGTTTCGGAGAGTGCATCTGGAGGCCCCGGGAGCCTGGGCGGGGCGTGCGTGAGGGGGGAACGCATCGGCCCCCCAGTTGCCCATTCTTCGCCGATGGTGTTCCGATAGCCCACCCCGCCCAGGACCGTACGGATTTGCGGATTTTCTATCGGGGGCCTGGTCGCCGATCTATCGGCGATGTATCGTCGATTTCAGCTCGATGTGCCCCCCCCCCCCCCCCCCCCCTCTGAGCCAGCCCCCCCTCCCTAATGTTCCCTTCGCTCTCTCTGTGCCCCGTGCCCCTTCCTCTTCTGCTCCCGACGCTGGCTGGCCGACGCCCCTTTCCACGCGCCCGCATTGACGGACGAACAACGCACACCCATATCCATAGGAGCGTCGGAGGGGGGAGGACTGGCCATGGATATGGGTGCGGGTTGTCGGACCCTGGGGGAGGTTCCCGTCCGAACGGGGACCCCCATCTGACAACACGCATCCATAGCCCCCGCCGTACAGCCTATGGGTATGGGTACGTGTTTTCGTTCGTCACACAACGCCGACTTTCCGACGCCCCCC